CACACACACTCGCGCACACACGCGCACACACACACGCACACACACACGCGCGCGCACACACATGCGCACACACACGCGCACGCACACACGCGCACACACGGAGAGGGAGTTGGCAGTTTCGTGAGTTTCATTTTTGCACCTCCCCCCCACTCCCTCCTGTCGTATGCCGGTGATCAACCCCGGGGTGGTGGTGGTGGTGGTGGTAGTGGTGGGGGTGGGAGTAGTGGTGTGGCTGGTGGTGGTGGGGGGTGGTGGGGGGTGGTGGGGTGGTTGGGGTGTTCCTATGGCACCAAGCAAAGTGCTTAGGCATTTGGCTGGCTTTGTCAGACAAAGGGGTAACAAGCAGAAGCTAAAATACAAAATTGACCTTTCTCCCCCACCCCACCCACCCACCACCCCTTCTTTATTGACTGATGTACGAAAAATTGTGGCCAGGGACGTGATGAAGTGCGGCGGGAGTTTTTCTGGCCCAATCATGCGCGTGTTGTTATTGATTGCCCCTGCGCATTCATACAATCACTTGACACTAATGTGCTCTGGCAAGTTAAGGGTAACACATGGGAGGAGGGAGGAGAAGGGTGAAATCAGGCTAGACTGAGAGTCGTGGCAATGAGTGGGTGGAACATTCAGGCGAGATGCCACACGACTTATTCCTTATTTGTCAACAGCCGAACACACGACGCCGCCGTAGCTCCGAGTGAACGAGCAGCCTCTACGCTCCGTGCTTGCGTGCGTGAACGCCGGCAGTGTGTGTGTGTGCGCGGGGAGCGGTGGCGCAGCGGGTTAGCGCTCTGCGCTACGAACCCGGCGATCTCTGTTTACTGCTCGCTCACGGTTTAACGCCGGTGACGATTATCCGAACCGGTCCTGGGCCTTCCTCGAATGAGTAGCTGGTGCGATGTGCGTTCATCGCAACTAGGGAGACAAAGGCGGCCAGGCGTGGTGTGGTGGCCACCCACCCACTCGTGTGCGAGAGCGCCGGCCTTGATAGGTGCTACTCGCTAACAGCACTTGCCCCAAAGACGGTGAAGGCTATATGTACCAGATACGGTGCGACACGTGGCGACGTTCGCTCCAGGTGATGTCACCATATCGAGGCTGCCGACGTTGGCAGCTGCCCTAACAAGGAGCAAGCCGCCCCACCCCCCCCCCCAAAAAAAAATGTGTGGAGCCAGGAGAGGAATACGACGTGATGATGCCGGCGTTTGCGAGAGATCACTCGGGCGCAAGAGCGGAGAGAACGCGAGTCGCGTCAGTGCGGCTTGTACCTCCCGTCGCTTTCCCGGTGCGAACGGTGCCGCGGCGTTCGGCGGGCGTGCGTCAGCCCCTCCTGTCCGAACCTGTGCACACGGCAGGCAGAGGTGTGGACTCGAGTCTGTGACTTGGACTCGAGTCGACTCGAGTCATGAATTTGATGACTTCAGACTCGACTTGGACTTGCATAACAATGACTTTGTCCACCTCTGAGGTGTGGACTCGAGTCATGTGACTTGGACTCGAGTCAGACTCGAGTCATGAATTTGATGACTTCAGACTCGACTTGGACTTGCATAACAATGACTTTGTCCCACCTCTGAGGTGTGGACTCGAGTCATGTGACTTGGACTCGAGTCAGACTCGAGTCATGAATTTGATGACTTCAGACTCGACTTGGACTTGCATAACAATGACTTTGTCCCACCTCTGAGGTGTGGACTCGAGTCATGTGACTTGGACTCGAGTCATGAATTTGATGACTTCAGACTCGACTTGGACTTGCATAACAATGACTTTGTCCCACCTCTGAGGTGTGGACTCGAGTCATGTGACTTGGACTCGAGTCAGACTCGAGTCATGAATTTGATGACTTCAGACTCGACTTGGACTTGCATAACAATGACTTTGTCCCACCTCTGAGGTGTGGACTCGAGTCATGTGACTTGGACTCGAGTCAGACTCGAGTCATGAATTTGATGACTTCAGACTCGACTTGGACTGCATAACAATGACTTTGTCCCACCCTCTGAGGTGTGGACTCGAGTCATGTGACTGGACTCGATTCAGACTCGAGTCATGAATTTGATGACTTCAGACTCGACTTGGACTGCATAACAATGACTTGTCCCACCTTGCGGCAAGGTGTTATGAAGGGGCGGCGGGGGAAAAGCCACTTTTTTGCTACTTTCTTTCTCCAAACTCGCGCTGTCGTGGCCAAACGACGTCAGTAATCGTGCCGTGATGCGTTTGAGCCCGGTGCTCGCAATTCGATCGCGAGGGGGTCGGAGCTATAGAGCTGCACGATCTCCTCGCTGTTTCTTTTCACTTTTTCCGATTCACAGTGGGGGGGGGGGGGGGCGGTGTTACAGAGGCATCCGTACCAAAGCAATTCTTGGGTTGTGTTGCCAATCTTCTCAAGATGCATTGCTCCAGGAATGTGTTTTGTTCCGGGCAGCCGCAGGATTCTCGAATGAAAATTGACCGCCCGGCTTTCCATCGCGTTTTTTTTATAGATATAAAAAAGATATGAATAAATAAATTATATACATATCTTATTAGTCTCAATTAAATCGCAAGCGGACACCTCGATCCCTCTCGACTACTGTGGCTGCTCGGGGGGAGACCGGGAGAATGGCTCGGCGTGCACGCACAGAAGGACGCAGGGAAGCATGCACGGCAGCACGCACAGAAGCACGCAAGGATGCACGGCAGCATGCCAAGAAGCACTCACAGAAGCATGCACGGCAGCACGCACAGAAGCACGCAGGGAAGCACGGCAGCACGCACAGAAGCACGCAGGGAAGCACGGCAGCACGCACAGAAGCACGCAGGGAAGCATGCACGGCAGCACGCACAGAAGCACGCACAGAAGCACGGCAGCATGCACAGAAGCACTCCACAGAAGCATGCACGGCAGCACGCACAGAAGCACGCAGGGGAAGCACGGCAGCACGCACAGAAGCACGCAGGGAAGCATGCACGGCAGCACGCACAGAAGCACGCAGAGAAGCATGCACGGCAGCACGCACAGAAGCACGCAGGGAAGCACGGCAGCACGCACCGAAGCACGCAGGGAAGCATGCACGGCAGCACGCACAGAAGCACGCACAGAAGCACGGCAGCATGAACAGAAGCACTCACAGAAGCATGCACGCAGCACGCACAGAAGCACGCAGGGAAAGCATGCACGGCAGCACGCACAGAAGCACGCACAGAAGCACGGCAGCATGCACAGAAGCACTCACAGAAGCATGCACGGCAGCACGCACAGAAGCACGCGGGAAGCATGCACGGCAGCACGCACAGAAGCACGCAGGGAAGCACGGCAGCATGCACAAGAAGCACGTAGGGAAGCATGCACGGCAGCACGCACAGAAGCACGCACAGAAGCACGGCAGCATGCACAGAAGCACTCACAGAAGCATGCACGGCAGCACGCACAGAAGCACGCAGGGAAGCATGCACGGCAGCACGCACAGAAGCACGCACAGAAGCACGGCAGCATGCACAGAAGCACTCACAAGAAGCATGCACGGCAGCACGCACAGAAGCACGCAGGGAAGCATGCACGGCAGCACGCACAGAAGCACGCAGGGAAGCACGGCAGCATGCACAGAAGCACGCACGGCAGCACGCGCTCGTGCACGCAGCGAGCGAATCAACCACGGGGTGCGTCCGTGCCGCCGCACGTCAATGAGGCCGGCGGTGGATCTCAGGAGCCGTGAGCAACGCGACGGCCGGGGGGTGGGGGGGGCTCTCTCTTCGTCTCCCTCTCGCCGTCGTCGCTTCGGCCCGCAAGTAAAATCGCCCCCCCCCCGACCACCGTGTGGGTGGCGGGGGTGGTTGGTGGTGGTGGTTGTGGTGGTCGCGCAAAGCGCTGCGAGCGAGTAACGAACTAACCCCTCTTGCCCCTCGTTCAATACTTATCACCACCAATTATAATGAGAACGCCACGATATTATAATGAGAACGCCACGATATTATAATTATAAGGCGGCACGGGGTGGTGACGATGCAGCCCTGTGACCGTTTTGCTCGTGCCGCTGCAGATCCACCCAGACTGGACGCCTGTGAGCAAAGAGCTTCATAGCTCATCGGATTCTCCTCTTGTCCAGACGGCTCGATAGACTTACCGTGGTGTGCAAATGTACGCTACCGGTTAGATCGAGGCGGAGGGTGATGGGGAGGAAATGGTTTAAGAAACCTGTCCCATTGTTTCAGATGTTCAGAGTGCTCAACATCGCTCCGTTGTAAAAAAAAAAAAATTCAGGAGGGCGCTGCATTCAGATGATCGCCTTATTCCGTGTGCGAGTGTTCGGCAGCTAGGAGGAAACTGTAGTTCCTGTCAAAAATAAATCCAGAGAATACTCTCAAGGCACGACACTCAAACCTCCACAATTAGATGTAAGAATTCACTGCTGTGCTGCCTTCTCGTGGTCACACCTCACAGGGCTACACCCTACAATGCCTGCCCCACCACGATCCAAGTGGTCTCGTCAAGGAGCATCAACCATCACGCGAACTCCGCTCATCCTCGCAGCAGCAGTGGCTATGACCTATAAATCGAACAAACACGGTCACCCGCTTTCAGATGCGTTTTTGGAACTTTCTACCTTCCTATATAAGGAAATCCACTGGAGCTATGCACATTCTAATTCTATATTGAAAGCAGCTCATTTCTTTAGAACTGCTTTTTGTGTTTAGCTTGTTGTCCTTCCTAAGCACCTCCGATTAGCGAGGTTGGGCTACGTACGTTGTGAAGATGTTCAACGGACATTTCAGTTTTCAGTTTCATCATGAGGTTATAACCATGTGAGCCATGCGGCTCTTAACTCTGGTGCAACCGCAACAAAACAAAAACATGACCAAGAAAACATCTTAAGTGATACTACACGCAACGTACATACAGGTGCTAGCCAGTCTCGCACTTGCTTAGCTTCCGAGGTTCGATGGAGATTGGGCGTGGGAGGTCATTGATGGGTGGTCACGGGTGCACAAATCCGATGCCCATTCCTTGCCGTTCGATGGGGACCACCGGAGTTGCAAGTGAGATGTTTATTCGTGCTTTTTTCCCGTGGAATGTTCCAGTCTGCTTGGTCCACGATGATGATAACAGTGGATGCAGCTGTGTTGCCCGCACGAATTAAGAATATTTAAACATTAATAAGGACGGAAATATGAAAACGACTCAAGAATCACATTTACATTATTCAAACAAAGACGGTGGTGGATGGGGGTGGGGGAGAGTTGTAACGTTTTGTTTGTACGGCGAACTAAACTCGAAGTTCAAGAGTCAACGCGCTCTTCCATGTGGAATGCATCTGGTGCATTCGACTGCGTTATTCATCATTGCGAGCTGCATTAAACCATCACCGTCCCCTTGCATGCACATTCATCATTCCTGCAAATACATTTTACACGTTGTAGACGTTCGCGACGAATGTTTATGCTTATTAGAGGTTGTTTTTGCGTTTGTTAGATTGTCACGTAAACATAAGGTGCAAATTGGTTATAACTTCAGCACCCACCGGTGTGTTGGGGAGTTAAATGCTGTTGATCCTCTCTTCAGCACACCGGTGGACTAAAGAAGAGAATTATTTTGTCCTTTGAAAACGTGACACATTTTTTACTGTTTCGCCGTGTCGGGTGGTGGAGGGTTACGACACATTTATAAATAACGCGATCTGGCCCAAAAACCTATATTATAATAATATTGGTCGCGAAAGCCTACGCGTTAAAATAACGCACAACTTTTACAATGAGTATTGTGACGTTTCGCTGGTGATTACAGCAGCAACAACAACAACAACCAGCTACATCAGGCTATTTGCCATAATTGTGAAAAAACTAACCTTCCTGTTACTCTCCAACACACCCGGTCTGCTGAAGTAGTAACTCACTGGCTGCCACCCGCGTTCGCGAAACGGCTCGCGGGAAGTAGACACTGCGGAGCTGCGTCCGAGATCCCTTCAAAGTGCCGCTCTCGTCCCCGCTGCGGTGATGGAGCACACCGGCGACCCGACCGCTCTCGGTTTCGCGTAAATATTCCAGAGCAGCCGATGCCCCCCCCCCCCCCTCGTCTGCAGCAGAGAGCAAACACACGAATCAGCGCAAGCTGCCCCTGTCACCTGACCTCACCGCGCCATCACTTCGTCTCTCTCTGTTTCTGCCTCTGTCTGCTCGCGCGAGCTTGCGCTGGAGGCGACCGCGATCTCTATTGGGAAGGGTGGTGGTGGTGGTTCACTTCAGCTCCTGCTGCTGCTGCTGCTTTCTTCCCTGAGTCGTCCGTAACCTCCTCCTCCTCCATGCTGCTGCGCCCCCGAGTAGGCCTCTCCCGTCGAGAACGAGAGCGTACCGTGCGGCACACGTTACGAGCTGACATTCCGATCATCATTATTATATCGATAATTTTTTTAAATATATACATTCGCATTCAGTTGTTAGACACGCAGTTCAGATTCGTTATATGTTCGTATTGCGACTATACACTCGCACAGGACAAAGAACCGGTCACAGTGCATGGGGGGTTAGGAGGGGGGGGGGGGACAGAAACTCCGCGAGCCAAAACCCCGAGGTCGGAGTGCCAGGGGCTTAATGAGGGGGCCGTGGGGACGATGGGGGGCTCTCTGCCCCCCCCCAACACCCAAGTGGGGACCGCGAGCGAGAACGAGGAAGCTGATACGGGGAGGGAAGGGCGATGGGAAAGATAACGAACATAATGGGGTAATTCTAGATTTGAAGCTTTCGTGACTGCAAGGATTCATATTCTTAGGTTTTTTCGGAAAAGTCACGTAGGTAAAAAATTAAATTTATAAAAGTAAAATAAAAATAAAATAAAAATTACGACGTTTCGGAGGCAACACAAGCTTCCGTCTTCAGGTGGAACCGTCACAACACGATTGCTGTATCAAGTGAGAGGATACTTGATACAGCTACTTGATACAGCCTATCGTGCTGTGACGGATCCACCTGAAGACGGAAGCTTGTGTTGCCTCCGAAACGTCGTGATTCTATTTTATTTTTATTTTACTTTTATTAATTTTAATTTTGTACCCACGTGACTTTATCGAAAAATCCTAAGAATATAATGGGGTAAAGAGGGATCCCTGAATCATTGAATGTCTTTTGTTTTAACTTATTCTGAAAGTGTTCTAATTGACTTCAAGTAACCCGGGGTGGGCGGGAGGGGGGCCTTGTCAAAACTGCACGGACCTCAACGCTCCGGGACTCCCACCCAGCTAACTAAACTCAAGGAGGGCTCCTGCTCCAAACGACCATTGAGAGAGAGTCGGCGGCCACCGCTGGACACTCCACGTGCCTACGGCAGGGACGAGTCTCTCCAATCCCCCCTCGGCGGAGTTGTAACTCGCGACGACTGCAGCAGCGTGGCGGACCAGCTCGACAAACACTTTGGTGGATTCTCTTCACTCAAGCGCGGTGCAGCACAGCAGTAGCGGGCGCCACTCGTCTACTCGGAAATGCATCGTCACGTTGAGAAACCGTCGATCGGCAATGCAACCTCGCGATGAGAACCGTCGGCTCGCCGCACTTGAGGACCGCACTTTGATCGCGGTTTGATTTGGCGGCCGGAGAGAAAAAGCCAGGTTCGATCCCAGCGGTTGCCGGCTTAGAGTCTCTCTTGACTCCAGTAAGTCTCTCTTACCCAGCCACCACACGAGACGTCGCCGTTGCTCAGCTGGCGGTGAGATGGCCGTTTCTTGAATATGTAACGCATCATTATTATTATGGGATGCATAAAACGCCATGGTTCCCTTTTATAGACATCGCATCGTCCTTGCCCTGTTTGCCTTCGCAGCAGACTTTTGGTCGATAGCATTGATGAGACAAAGCCATGTAAAAAGGCTGGATCTCTTGGAGGCCAATCAGTTTCAAGGACAGAGCACACATGTCTTAAGACCAGCATGTGTGCTTAATGCAGACATGATGCCTTGTAATAGTTGCGTCTATTTTACATATGAACACCTTAACACCTCCTGTATCTATGCCAGAAAAAAGGTGAAGCCTTTTCTAATGAACTTGATGATCATTGTTATGATTGACATCGCCACTGATCGAAATGGGCCGGTGTACACCGTGTGCCACACCAACACTTCATCAGAACGCTTCCTACCCCGATCCTTTGAAATCACCCAAATTGAAAACTCACTTCTTTAGAACCGCTTTTTGTGTTTAGCTTGTTGTCCTTCTCCCCGCACATCCGATTAGCGCGGTTGGCTACGTACGGTGCAAAAGAAGTTCAACATACGGACATATCCCTCAACGTATCCGCTGCACGAGTGCTTTTCTGACTTCTGCATTTCGGCTGGCTATCGCCGTTACCAACGTGCCACCGAGATGCCACCAACACCAGGCAGCGACGGGCGAGCCACGGTCCCTGGATGCGGTTGGCACGCAATGGGAGAGCTGGAAAAATGTTTCAGCCGGGTGGTTTTGTGGAGGGGGGGGGAGGAGAAGAAGTAAAAAAATAACCCGTAAAAACAAAGTTTTTCACTATAAATCCTTTATATGCGTGGCGGCTAGAGTCCTCTCGTCCTCTGGCTTGAGATGGCTGCCACCTATGGGTCAGATGATTGCCTGGAAGCATTAAGCAATTGGTAATTAAATATAATAAAAAAAATCCTAAAAAGTGTAAAATGTTGCTAAAAAAATTCACGAACATTAATTGTCTCGCACAACGAGTCTGTGTGCAAAATGTCAGCTCGATTGGATCACGGGAAGTGGGTTAAAAAACGACCGAAAGATTTGCACGGTCGTAAGCGCGCAAGCAAGTGAACTTAATTTAAAGGATTTAAAAATGTTTTAGCCGGTAGGTTTTGCGGGGGGGGGGGGGGGGGGATGGGAGGAAGTGAAAGCGGAACACGGCCACGCATTATTGCTCGCGAAACAAACAAGTCGAAGGCCATCCGTTAGGCAGGCGACTTCTCCATTAACACAGTGGCAGGGCCCGGCTCCGCAACCTGGAAATCAATGCTGATTAACCGATCAATTCGCCCCAATCGATGATGTTAATGAGAAAACATTTAAATGACCGTGGATCTAAGTCCGTGACAGGGAGGTGCCAGACATTAATCCGAGTGCCCAAACCGCTCCCAAACGGCAGGGGTATCGACACGACGACGCTCACTTTCCCCTGACTGCGACAGGATTACCGGAACGCGTAAGCCCTTGGAACGTAGGCAAGGTTTTTGTTTAAGTATATATATAACGGAGGCTCAAAACGATCTCTCTAAGGGTAACTCGATTGGTCCGGTCGTGTTGTTTAAACCACCCGAGTTAGAGTCCTTTGACGCGGCCGCGTTGCGATGGGCAGCGACGTGGATCTTGCGATCCGGAGACTCGATATCCCGAAGTGTGGCGATTTGAAATGACGGGCGAGTTTGTTAAACCCATCCCTCCTCTTCCTCCTCCCTCCACCCCCAACATCATCTGTCCACCAAGCAGTATAAAGTCTGGGATGCGGAGACTTAACGGACTAACTTCTCCATTGTGATAACTTCTGCGTTGTTTGTGCTTTTTGGATGTTGGTGCCATTTCTTCACTTGCTTGTTAATTTTTTTTATTTTCTGAGGGTTTTCACTTGCTTGGCAGTCGCTGTATACAGGATGCATTATTAACGTACAAAGTTGTGGGACGCGATTGGCATTAACGGTGTGATATAAAATTTAAATTATCCTTATTATTACACCACGCTTAGTCGTTTTGGTAAGTTATTCGTGGTCGGGCAAAGTGTGGGTACCCCCACCGTCTCCCAAGATGTTTGGCCAGCGTGAAAGGTGAGACCAAATAGACCTTCCAGGGGGGCTCTGTAGAGCGGCTTCTAGTAGAGGCCTCTAGCGACTGTCTCTAGCGACTGTCTCTTGTGGAGGCCTTTAGTGGATGTCCTCTGGCGAGCAGCGGCGTGAGCAAGCAATTGCAGAGCTGCGCCTTTGCCTTCCATTCAGATTAAACAAAGTATTATTTGTTGTTCAAGGGGACACCTGGGTCAAATTAAATTTTCCATCAATTGGAATAGGTTCGACAATTAT